GTTATTTCTTAGACTCCTTCAGGAACTCCACTTGTATTAAAATCCAGACACCTCAGGAAAGCTCCTTTAGGAGCTGTCAGCCACCTGCCTTCCTGTCCTCATCTTTTGCCATTCCCTACTCATTCTCCAGGTACCAACTCTAATGAGCCACCTGCAGTTGTTCAGGAACTCAGAAATAAGCCTGCTTCTGTGAATTGACACCTGCAGTTTGCTTTGCATGAAATTCCCTTCATGTCTTCTTTATCTAGTTGCTTTTTATTTCTTCCCCTCTGCATGAGCTCGCAAGGGTGAAGTCTACTCCTTCACTTTCTCTTTGACCTCATAACACAGACTAGATAGGTGCTGAGCTAATGCTGCCAGGTGAGAAAGTTAGTGGGAGGGAACCAACCCTCTGTATTGCCTTCCTTGGTTGTCTCTTTGGTCTCAATTCAGGTTAACTGCTCTTCTTCCTTCCCCTCCTCCTCCTTTCTCTTCCAACCACCCCTACAGAACTGTGTCCCAGCAGTCTCTCTCAAGTACCACTCTGAGCTGGTCAGAACCTTCAGTGGTTTACCTTTTCCTGCTGAATCTGTTTCATGCTTTCTGCCATTTCCACCCTCTAGTGGTCAGTCTCCCATCTTTCTTCCCAACTGCATTTCTGACATTTCTCCTTGTCTCCTCCAGACTCTACAGCAGCCTCTGCTCATTTTCTGACCACACCATAGCATACCATCACTGTGGCTGTGTTCACACTTACTCTCAGCCAGGTGTTTCCTTGGCCAAGTGAATTAACAGGAAAAATGTTCACACCCCACAGTCAGAATTAATCTATCCTGTACCTAAATATTCCACTTTGAGTTTTTTCCTTCATGATGGTACATACCACATTCTGCTTCTTATTAGATCCTTTGGGTTTTGTTAAATTTTTGCATATTTGCTTCTTAACAGGTTCTAATCTCCTTGGGATAAGAGCTGAGTCAGTTCATCACTCATGCCTGGTCCCCTTCAGTCAGTGTAGATAGAAAATGTACTTTGGCAAGACTTGGCGTGAATTCCTGTTACAGCACAAGTAACTGTAATCTCTTTCAGTTCTTTCTCCCAGCTTGTAATAGGAAGATAATAAAGCCCATTTTACAACATGCTTATGCAGATTAAATGAAATAATGTATGCAAAGCGTGTAGCTTAAAAGAATGGCCCATTGCAGAAATGCAATAATTGGTCATTATTACTGCTGTTACTGTTTCTGTAGACAGGGAACACTGGAAGGTGGTATGGTTTTGTTTGAGCTCAGTATTAAGGACTTTCATTTAATTACGTGGTTAATTTCTAGTTGAATATAACTGAAGGTAAAAATTACCCATTAGCCTTGCTATAAAATACAACCTTTTCTTTTTAATTTCACAATCTTCTGCTACTACTTATTCTGGTGTTATAACATTTTGCTGGCAAAAATGGTTGCTTGCTTCTTCAGTTTTTCCACTGACAGAGGGCTGAATTGTTACCAGTATTTATGAAAAGAAGAATGATGTAAGCTTCAAATCACCTTTTTTCAATCTCTTCCATGCTGCTTTGAAATAGAGAGTATGAATTGAGTTTCCAGTGGTTACAGTTATTGAAACCTCTGCCTGGTTTGGGGGGGACACTGGAGCACTAGAGGGGCTTCTTTGGCCTGGCAGGTTTCTAACACATTTCATTTTCCCACTTTGGTTAACGTTGGTTGAATACCACAGCCTGAACCTTTGGAAGATTCAGAATGCCTAGTCCTTATACCGAGAGAGGGAGCGAGAGACAGAGAGAGAGAGAGAGAGAGAGAGAGAGAGAGAGAGAGGGAGAGAGAGAGGGAGAAAGGAGAATGAAAGTGCTGAAGTTGAAGTGAACTCAGGGAAAGGACATCGACTTATGTTATGCTTTTACAGAGTGTTAGAACGATATAGCTCAGATAATTCCTTGAATTAGGTATTATCAATTAGCATTTCTACAAATTGGGATTATATGAAGATGGTTCATTGTGAGCAAATACTTGTTTCATTCCTCTTTTCCAACTGAAATAATGAAGAGCTCACCAAAGAAAGAGAAAAACCACTCAGAGCTATGAAAAGTACCAAGAACTGGTCATCCATAATTAAGCATAGGTGCCATCTTCCACACTGGTGAGAACAGATTCAGGAATAGCTCTGGAAATAAATGTCAGACCTAGACACTGGCAGAAGAATGACAGTTGCCAGAGACCAAAATATCAGAAGAGGAGAGAGGCTCAGTGCCAGTTTCACCAACTAATAGCCCAGTGGGAAATAAGAATATGATGGTGGTGGTGGTGGTGGTGGTGACAGGGAACATTTAGTAGGCAAACTTGCAGGCACCATGTGAATCAATCAGTGCTTTTTATTTCATATAACTTTCTTTAAAATCCCTATAAAATAAATACTATTATTTTATATTTACTTTATAAATGTAGTAGAACTTCAGTATATAATCTCACCCAATGTCACCTAGCCTGTAAAGGACAGGCTAATCTGAGTTTAACCCACTTCATTTCTCTTACTGCCAATACTGCTACATACAGCTCCAAACCTTTGTAAGTGAGAGTGGGTTAGAGAAGACCCCCTTCTTCCTCTTCTCTAGCAAAGTAGCAGCTCTGGGTCAGAGCAGGACCACCCACCTGCCTGGCCACCACTTCCACAGACTTAATGTGGGGAGAGTTAGGGATTGACAAAGGACTACTCTGCTGTAAATCCATTGTGGCGGTGAGACCATTCTACACTTTATCAGAAAGAAGAGGGAGAGACTATGGAGTTTCTGTGCCTCTAAAGCCAGTTTTCTGGGCAGCCCCTTTGTGGGTCACCCCACTCCCATGCATAGTGATTATAGCCTGCAAAGCCTAAACAGAGGACAGAAGCAGTGTGGTCACAGTTGGTAGATGTGTTCTAATCCCAGATGCTGGAGAAACATTTCATTAAGAGTTAATAATTTCTATTTGATGATGCAAATTACTGGACTCCACCCCAGAGCCCAAGGAATGAGGCTTCTCATACCCTCTGAGCTTTTTCTAGCAGACACAGGTCCTATTTGTGCTTGGCTTTTTAACAATTTTACTTTTAGCTCACCCACTACCACCCAAAGCCTATCATTATTTATTATTCAATTAGCATCTCCTGTAGACATGTTCTCTAAGATTTAGCAAAATAGTTGCCCAAAAGATTACATACTCAACACACCAAACAAGAAAGTAAAAACTCAAAATATACAACAAACAAACCATAACAGTCAACCTTACCACTAAAATATATCTCTCATAGGTAATAAAAGGATGTCTGTGTGTGTGTGTGTGTGTACCAAATATCTATTCTTAGGGAAATAAAGATGCAGAACAAAGAAGAAAATTTCATATTAAAAAAAAAAGCTAATTCAAGCGTTGGCAATAGTTTATTTTATTGATTCTAAGACGTTCTCCCACTGTTGCCTCTTCGAATGCTAATGTTTTACAAATTCATTGAGTCACTAAGTGGTGGTAATGTATAATGTCTCTTTTATTTTGTTTTTTTGGTGGGACTGGATTTTGAACTTAGGACTTCATGCTTGCAAAGCAGGTGCCCTATTGCTTGAGCCACACCTCTAGTCCAGTAATGTCTCTTCAAACAATGAGAGAGATGGTGTCACTTCTGATCAAATCTTCCCATTTTTGGAGCTCGCTCAATAAATGCCTGTCCCTCATCATGCACTGTGTGGCTCACTGTGATCTGATCGCCCACTGCTTCTCTGACCTCCTGCCCTGGGATATGTGCTGTTCTTTTTCAACCCACTACAGCAGTGCCAGGCTGCTCTTTGTAGACCAGCCAGCCATGCTTCCACCTTGGACAATGCCCTGTGGTTCCCTCTGCCAGGACCTCTTTTCCCACTGAGAATCCGTGGTTCACTCTTTATTCATGGTCTTTTCTTATTTAGGTTTTCCTTGTTCACCTTGTCTAAAATTGTGGCATCCTATTATTGCCTCTCCTTTCTGCTTCATTTTTCTGTTTTGCTTTTATTAGCAGCTGATGGTTCATATTTTATTTATTTTGCTTCTAGTCTGTCTCTCCCCAAGAGAGTTCAAGCTGTGGAAAAGCAGGAATTTTGGTCTGTTCTGTTCTTTGCTGAGTCTCCAGCTCTTAGAGGAATGCCTGATACAGACTGAGCTCCTGATAAATATATACTGAGCATTTGAATAAATAGATACATATGTAAAGTATTTATGCTAGACCTAAAGAATAGGTCAGTGGATTACATGCTCAAAGGTTGGTGGGGAAGGTGGGAAAGAGTGTCAGTCTCGTGCTAAGCCTGTCTAATGGAGCATAGACTAGGGGTCAGACATCTTGAGCTATACACCTGCCTCTCTTACCATCTGCCTAAGTGAAATTACACAAATTAATCTCCTGGGCCTCCAGATTGAACAACATAATCTTGACAGTACTAGGATTTGAACTCGGGGCCTCACGCTTGCTAAGCAAGCTCTTTACCACCTGAACCATTTTGCCATCCCTTTGTGTGTGTTGCATATTTTTGAGATAGGTTCTCACTTTTTGCCCAGGTTGGCCTCAAACTGTGATCCTTCTGATCTCAGCCTCTTTGAGTAGCTAGGGGTGAGCCACCATCACCGAGCTGAATGTAATCTTTATGGATGACACATGTCAGCTAATAGAATTTTTGGCTAAAAACTGAGGCCCATACCTGGGAAGCTATAGTGAATGAAACCATATTTCTCAACATAAATAATTATTATCACAGAAACAATACTAATGACAGTGTTAGCACAGAAGAATTTTTTAAGGTAACTTGTTCAATTTCCTTTGTTTTGTAAATACTGGGATTGCAGTCCAGGCTTTGAGAGACTTGGCCAAAGTCAAGTGCTAGGGTGGCAGACCTTGGAAGTCTGCTCAGGAGCCCTGCCTGAGTCAGTGTGCTTTTGACTTTAGGTGGTAAAGGTGGCAAATGTATCTTTCAAAAGAAGAATTATTCTTGTTTGTCTTTTTGTGACCCACTTCAGCTTACAGAGGAGATTGGAAAACTTGAGGATAAAGTGGAATGTGCTAATAATGCCCTGAAAGCAGATTGGGAAAGATGGAGACAAAATATGCAAAACGACATCAAGTCAGCCTTCACCGAGATGGCCGAAGACAATATCCACTATTATGAACAGGTACCCGGTGATTTCTAAAAGGTTATATTCTCTTTTGCTTTCACCCACTCCTATTATCAAAGGACTCTGTGTGCACCTATGGAAATATCACAGTGAAATCCCTTTGTACAGTTAGTATTTCCTGAGAGAGAAAGGAATATATATTTTTAAATTTTTTATTATTATTATACTGGGGGTACATTGTGACATTTATCAAAGTTCTTATTATATGTTAGAGTTGAATTCACTCCCTCCGTCATTCTCTTCTGTCTCGCCTTGCTCCATGTCTGGAACAGTTTCAGCAGGTCTCATTTCTCCATTTTCATACCTGAGTACACAATAGTTCCACCACATTTATACCCTCCCACACCTGTCCTCATATCCTCCCCCTCCCACTGGTGCCAGCTTTCAGACATGACCTGCTTTACCTTCCTGTTCTCTGTTTTTCAAAAAAGACATTTTTGTTTAAGATACCTATTCAGGGAGTTTCCTTGTGATATTTCCACGTATATTTGTATTGTAACCCTCTATTTTTCTCCTTTCTACTCTAGTCCTCTTCTTATGGTGATTTTAACAGGTTTTAAAATTCTATATTCATTCTTGTACAGGAAATACATCCACCATATTCACCTATTTAACTTTCTTCTTTTACCCTCTCTCTCCCATTAGTGACCAGAGGAATCTATTTTAGGAAGAGTCAAGTAAAGGAACTGGGGGCCACACTGAAAATTCTCTTTGGTGGCAAGTTCCAGTGGAGTTACCAATTGCCATTTTGTCCTTCACAAACCCTTGATGATACTTTCTGATGGTTCATCTATCTTACCTCTCCCTTTTCTTCTTTTTCCTTTATTATAAAGCCTTTGCAAAGGAAAGGAAAGGAAAGGAAGAGAGATTTGAATGAGCAGAAAGTCATGTCAGGGTCATGACTATTCAGAAAATCAACGGCAGAGGGCTTGCTATTCTGCCCGAGGAAGAGTAGCAACAATTGGGGAGGGGGAAGGGAGGGGCCGGAAAAGAGCCTAGTCATCATTTTCCTTTTTGAATGATCGGTTTTTCACTTTACAACTAACTTCCTCAAGGAAGTTACTTTCTCAAATGATCTTACAATCCTGGCCCTTTTCTCTACCTTGCATGTTCTAAAAATACTTTTACTAGGAAGAATATTTTATTTATTTATTTTTTAAATTTTTTTAAATTATTTTTTGTCATATTGTTGTAGTGGAGGGGTGCATTGTAACACTTACAAAAGTGCTTACAATATATCTCGGTTAAATCCACCCCCTGGGAAGAATATTTTAAATATACATCTTTAACCATATCTCTGGCTAAATTAACTGATATATGAAATTGACAAAGATTTTATGTTCTGCAGTTTCAATGCTTTCAGTTTAAAGATTCTGAAATCTTATCTATTTTGAAAGATTCAGCAGTATTGGTATTTTCGTTCAGCAAGGGTCAGTTACTATCAAGCAGACACTATGCTGGGTCATAGAGAGAGAGTCCAGTGTGCAAGACCAGCACAACCCCTCTCTCTTATGTAGTTGCAGTCAGTGAGGGAAATAGTCAATCAAACAACAGACCATAGTAAAGAGGCATATATTCAGTGTAAACAGACATTGCAGTCAGTGTAGATGGACATTGCAGGGGCTTCTAACCTAATGGTGAAGAGAACGTCATGTGTATGCTGAGAACTGAATGGTGAATAATAGGTCACCAGATAAAGATGGGAGAAACTAAGGCTGGTGTGGTGATGCACACCTGTTACCTGCTTACCCAAGAGGCAGAGAAAAGGAGGGTTGCAGTTCAAGACCAGCCCTGGCAGCTAAGCAGAGATAGTTAAGGTTCTAAAAAAAGATTTTGAAGCAAAAGGCATAAGGATTTGGCTTACCTGGTAGAGTTCAAACCCCAGCAACAACACACACACACATCCCCCACACAAATACACATCCACCTGCACAATTGGAGAACTTGAGTTCCAGGCATATAGGACACATGGCTGCAGGCACAGAAATGAGAGGATATGTTCAAATAACAAAGACTTTTTTGAAAAAAAGGAGGAGTGTAGGTAGCGGGTGTTTGAAGGATTTGGCCAAAAATGGCATTATAAATTAAGTCTTTACTCTTTCGTTCTAAGGGAAATAGGAGCCATGGAAGAGTTTTCACCAGGGCAGAACTGTCTCTCCTTAGTTTTTTCATTCTACATGAACATCCTTAAATAAACTCATGTATCTGAAAATTTCCATAAATCTCAGGTTTCAGATGTTTTAAAAATACTTGTCTTAAAAAACATTTATCAACATATGGCATTTACCTGTTTAAATTCACCTGTGTGCTTGCTTTGAGGAATTGTATGACAGTCAGCAAGATGACTTACAAGAAGATGCCTAGGTAAAGAGACTGCAATATATCATGCATGATTATGATTATAAAACCTACATATATTAAGGTATAAAAATCATATGATGAATGTATATTTCTTTTAAATATGGTGTGCCAAAAATTTCTGAATTTGGACATTTTCATTTGTTTATTTATTGGCAGCACTGGGGTTTGAACTCAGGACCTTACTCTTGCTAGGCAGGCACTCTTACTGCCTGAGCCACTCTGAACTTTTTTTAAGAACAAAATTTTTATAACAATTCCATTGAAGTGTAACTGAAATATTTGTGTTCTGATATTTCCTACATAAGTATGTATCCATGTCATCTTCATCAACTGAATTCTGAGTTCAGCTTTTTATAGCACAATTTTTGCTTATGGTGGCAGTAGGGTTGGTCCTTTTTGCTCTGGTTATTTTAGTCTAGGCTAGCCTAGATCACAAGCCTTCTATTTTATACTTCCTGCTGTAGCCGGAATGACAGGAGTAGACTACCATGCCCATTTCATGCCCATTTCACAAGATGGGGTCTTGTGAAATTTTTGCTTGAGCTGGCCTCCAACAGAGGTCCTTCAGATCTCAGCCTCCCAAGTAGCATGGATTATAAGCATGAGCCACTGGTGCCTGCCTAAAACACTGTTTTCTTAGGAAGAATTAAATCAGCACCACTGGACCATATTGTGAGTTTTGTTATCCACAGAAGTTTATATCACTGTGTTTTGTTCTTAACTCTTACCCCTCCCATGAATTGTATTTCTAAATGTTACTAAAAATATAACTAGTGTGCTGAATCTTGGATGTGTAAGTTGAAGGAATAGTTGATTTATTTTTTAAATGTAACTTCAAAAGACCCCTACAGCTCCAGTTATTTGTTGAGTTTCTTTTTTCCTGAGTGAAAAAAAATCTTAATCTATTTGGCACATCAGTCCACTAATGCACAATCAGGAAGTTGGAGCCCTTAAGTAATCAAGAGTACGTAATTAGCTGAAGACAGTGAGGGGTCGGCTGTGCAACAATCTCCTGTTAGCTATTAACTTCAGACTCTCTCAGATGCACAGAGACATGCAGTGTTCCACAAGCCTTCCCTCCCCTGTTTAAGTCACATTCTAATAGAAACATTCCCTTTTCCCTCAGCACTGACATAGGTAGATCCCAGAGGGGTCGAGTGAAGTAGGTGAAATGGGATTTAAATAGTTGCCTTTGGGTTTAGTACTATGAAGAGAAATGGACATAGCTTGTGTAACTTAAAATTCAGATACCAAAATGACAGGAAAATCAGATTGCTAACAAGAGACACGGTTCTGTGTCTGCCTCCAATTATAGCCATGTTGAAATTCTGTGCTTAGATGTGTTTATCGGAGACAGCTGACTCCAAATATAAAGCATGCACTATGAATAGGTAAAATGTTACTCCCATTCTACTCTATATGACTAACCATGAGGATAAAAAAAAACAAGAAAAACAACACAATGAAACCAAAAATCCAGTTGAGCAAGGTGCATAGTTTCAAAATTTACCCATGTGCTGTTTGACCACAGAGCTCCCTTCCAGGTTTTGTGGAACATGTCCTTAGGCAATTTTGTTGTCATGTGAACATCCTAGAGTTACACAAACAAGACAACCATGACACCAGCAGGCCATATAATCTGTAGGACCACTGTCATATGTGTTATGTGGCCTGTCATAGACTGAAATGTTGTTATGCAGCCCATAACTGGACAACAACTGTCAAGAAACCAGAGAAAATGACTTCCAGCTAATGAGCTACTGAACTACTCAGCTACTGAGGCAGTAGAACTTGTCGTGCTGGGTGAAGAGCCTGGATATTTTCCATTGCTCCCCTGTGGGCAGGAAAGGGGATTTGAGTTCGTTGCGCTGGTGCTGATTATGGTAGTGTGAAGACTGCAGAGAGAGTGATGATTTGCAGATGAGGTAAACTATAAGAGTTACTGGTTTTGGGTTTTGGTGATACTGGGGTTTGAACTCAGAGCCTCATGGTTGCTAGTCAGGCACTCAACCACTGGAGCCACTAAGCCAGCTGTATTTTTTGTTGGTTTTTTTCCAAGATAGGGTCTCGTGAACTGTTTTCCCAGGCTTGCTTCAAACTGTGATCCTCCCGATCTCTGCCTCCTGAGTAGCTGGGATTACAGATGTGAGCCACAGCACCCGATGAAGAGTGTATTTTTAACCAAAGCTCTATTGTAATATCATTGAATTCACTTAACTGGCCTGTGGTCTCTTAGAAATGGAACTTGAGTGCTTCTGTTCATTTCTGGCAGGAAAATGCAATTAGTTAAGAATTTCCCTACAGTAGCTTAGGGTTTGATTAGGGCAATAAAACAAAACAGTTACCTTTGGGATAATGAGCGCAAAAAATGGGAAACTGTCTACCTAGTCCAGTGGTGTCACTTTATTATTAAGGAGATGACAGTCACTCTAGCTGGAAAACTTTTTGATCCCTGAATGCTTTTGTTTTCTTTGTCTCTGATACACCAAGGACAGTTTGATAGTAATGAAGGGAAAGGAGTTAGTTCACAAGAGGCACCTTCAAATGATTTGAAGGGGAGAATTTGCAAAGGTGACCACATTCCAGCATGTCTGTTGCATGTAAAAGATTCTTAATATGTGCTTACAAAATTGCCA